TTGTGGATTATTAATGCATGTAATGTTGATATATGTAACTAAGGTGATTCTAAATTGATAATTAGTATAGTTGGTATTTTGGAATACCAACTATGCATTCCACAAGTATGCTTTTTGGGTTGCTAAGGTTATGGTCCTACTATGTTATGAAAACTCGTAAGAGAATGCTGTTATGACTTGTCTTATGTCCTTATGTGCATAAATGGTTTTCCAACTTAATAAATTCATCATTTTTAGTAAGATGTATTTTTTTTAAGAATAATTAAGTATTTTTATGCATGTTTCCATACTTAGTGCTTTTGTAATAACCCATTCTCTTCTACATCTCCTATGAGTGTATGTTCATGCCGTAAAAAGGTGCCCTTAGTCCATTCTTTAAGAAAACTGGTACCTCACAGTTTTGGTAAGATCTCAATTCTGAGTACGAGTTGTTATAGGTTCTAGTTCTAGTATACTTTTCTTGTTAAGGACTATATTGTATTTCATTATGATAAGACTTACTATTGATGTAATTAATGAGTACTAACTTTCGTACTCTTATGTTTAGATGGTGTAATGAGACAAGTTTAGCTTCCTATTTTTCTTATGTGAAGAAAGTTGTACTTCTAATGTAAATGTTTTAATTTTTCCGCATTACTCTTATGTCTTATGTAATGATGGTTAAGGGCTTGTAAGAGACTCCTTCAGAGTCAAGTACGTTGTGATGCTCATAGGGGGTAGCCCGAGTCTTGACATAAACAATACCATGGAAATGTGATTTATACAATTGAAAAAATAAAAATAAGACCTTCTTAGAAATGAATATCTCTTATTTATAAAAATGAAATTCTGACTAATAAAGTTTGTAAGGGATAGGAAATCATTTCTCCATCCTGTAACGACCCTCAAAATGAAGTAGGGTTATATAGAGCCTAACAAGGGTTTAACGAGTTAATAAGGTGTTAAAATAATAAATATTAGAATTAGAAGTTAGTTTGTAGAGTTTGGAAGTAAAAACGTGGAAGGATGACAAAGAGGTACAGAAACTAGTCTTGATTGTCTGCTAGTCTGTCCTTCAATGTTATATGTGTTTTTATGTGTTTTTTGGAGTCTAAAATTAGTTTGAATAACCCTAACCCCTACATTACAATCTTTAGGGTAAAAACTTCTGTTTACTACTCCCCAAGGACCACCCCAGAGGTCCTTGAGGAGGACCCATCCTTGGGCCAACACGCTGCCTAAGGCGGCATCAAATTGTGCATGGATGAAACAAGTCCGCGTCGCGTAAATGGTTCACCAAGGGCCAAATTTTTTGTCAACATATTCGGACTCTACTGTACCAAAAACTATTTTGAAAAATCTTGAGGGAACAGCTCCGTGACGCAGACTTGTTCCCCGACGATAATTCCTAAAATTTAAGTTAAGTTTGACTTGTCTAAAAAGGTCCAATTAATGCAGGGATATTTTGGATATTTTGGGGGTGTATTATATATGGATTTTAGGTCATTATACAACCATTACCCTAATCAAAAAGCCAAACCCTCAATTAGAATAAAAAATTATAAGCTCTACATTCACTCTAAAATTCTCTCTTAATTATATCCTCCATTGAAGGACCTTTTTTTTTAGTTGAACGACCCTTGGAGTGGGTCAGGGGCTTAGCAACACCCCCAGGCCTTAACATTCATAAAAATAAAATTTACATGAAGGGGGACATTAGGCCTTACCTTCTATCATTTGGTAGTTAGAATTGACTTGATCACAAAGAATAGTCAATTCTACCTTACAATAAGATGCAAACTATAAAATAAAATACCTAAAAGAGGACTCCTCTTTTTAATACAATATTCTAAGAATGCATAAATGAGGGAGACTCTCCCTTTTACAAGAGAATTGAAAAAGAAAATCTATTCTACTACCTATAATTATAAGCATGTGAACAGATTGTTAACTAACATTACACAATTTGTTGTTCTAAGGTGGATCTTTGATCCTTTTCAATTTTCTTCTTCTAAATGACTGTACTCCCATTTTCTCCAATAAGTAATTTCCTCTAATTGTTCCAATGAGTTGTTGTTGAGTATAAAAATGTTGAACAATATCTTGTTGATGACTCCATTTTGCTAATAAATCTGCTGTCCCATTAGCTTCACGAAAAATATGTTGGCATTGAAAATATTCCATCTTATTGACAATGTCCTGAATCTGATATATTGTTGGTTGGCATCTCCATGGAATATTTATTGAGTTGTCGATCCATTTGCTTAATAATTCCGAATCAACTTCCAAAATAATCCTTTTATAACCATGTTGTTCACACCAAGACAATCCATATAAAGCAGCCTTCATCTCTGCAAAGTTATTAGTTCCAATACCAAATGGAATAGCAAATGCATAAATCAGCTTACCATTATGATCTCTTAAAATGCCTCCTCCTCCAATTTTATTGATGTTGTGGATTGCACTGCCATCTGTGTTAAGTTTGAATATGCCTAAACTTGGTTTTTCCCACATTACCTTGGTTACTTTAACTTGTTGTTGACAATTTTCAGCAAGATTAATCAACATGTCCAAGTTATTTTGCCTTGATATATTTGGAAATGCTACCATAACAGCCTGCATTGTATCTTTAAATATAGCATATTGTACTCTTTGAGTGCTACACTGTTTGCTTCCATGTTTAACAGCACACCTATTTTTCCACAAATTCCAACAAATAAAATTAGGTAAAATTTGATAAAGTAATTTTTGTACCTGATTATGCACTGGTATATTTCTCCAATGAAGTAGCAGACTTCTAAGATTAGCATGATCTTGATGTACTCCAAGTCTGGTTGCATGGATTTTCCAAATGTATTTTGCAAAGTTACCAGTGATTAAGATATGAAGAATGTCATCTTTTCCTTTCCTGAAACAACAATAACATTCTTGTTCATCCATTCCAAAATTCATAAGGCTGTCATTAGTTGGAAGTTTATTCCTCAAAGCTTTCCAAATAAAGAAAGAAACTTTGAAAGGAATATTCTTGTGCCATATAAATTGATTAATAGGATCACTGATATTCTTTTTCCTAATAATATTCCATGCTGAGTGTATTGTAAACTTTCCTTTGTCTTCCAATGTCCAAATAGCATAGTCTGATTTTTCATTCTTAGCTTGGATCACTGTATCAAGAATGTTAGGCACCAACAGAGGGGGCACCAATTGTCTCACTTGCCTTTCTTTCCACTTACCATTTTCTGTCAATTCAGCTATTTTGACATTGTTAAGGCTGGAAATATTATCACATTTAGTTGCAACAGCCCCATCTCCTATCCAATTATCCCACCAAAAGCTGCAATTACCAGTATGAATATTCCATTTAATATACTTCTCTACCTCTTGTCTTATTCTTGTAAGATATCTCCAAACCACATAATCTCCAGTGTCAAATTTCTTTGCCACAATGTTTGATCTTTGACAGTATTTGGCTTTTAAGAACTTACTCCACAAAGTGTCTTTAGTCCTGAATTCCCACCAATGTTTATATTGAAATGATCTACACACATCATCCAACAATCTAACACCTATGCCTCCTTCACTAATAGGATAAGCCATAGTTTCCAAAGATGCCCAATGGTACTTCTTTCCTACACTGTCACTACCCCAGAAAAAGTCCGCAATAACCTTATTGATGTTTTTGATAATAGTTTTAGGTGGAGAAATGGTTGCTAAAGTGTGAATAGGAATGGATTGAAGCACATGTTTCACTAAAGTTATTTTGCCACCAAAATTAAGAATTTTTGATTGCCATCCTGTGATTCTTTTGATAACTTTGTCCACTAATTCAGAGTAATAGATAATACTTTTCCCTCCAATGTACAAAGGACACCCTAGATAGTTGATGGGGCTTGTTTTCATGTGGTAACCTGTAACACTCTTAACAATTTCCTGAATATCAGTTCTAGTATTTACAGTGGCCATACAAAAGCTTTTATCCTTATTGACCCTCTGATCAGACACCCCCTCATACTCCTTAATAGTATGCATAATAAGCTGAAGAGATTTAAGATCAGTTGAAGTAAAGATAATGATATCATCTGCAAAACTAAGATGATTAATCTGGGGTCCTTTCTTATTCATATTGAAACCTCTATATAATTGATTGTGAAACAACAAATTTAATTGTCTTGATAGTACTTCAACACCTAAAATAAATAGGGCTGGAGATAAAGGGTCTCCTTGCTTAAGACCTCTTGTTGACTGAAAAAAACCATGTCTCTTGCCATTAACAACAATGGAATACCAATTGTTACTCATAATTCTCCAAACTCTGTCAATAAATATCTCCCCAAAACCAAACTTTCTCAACACCATGCAAGTGTAGGACCAAGAAACTCTATCATAAGCTTTCACCATATCCAATTTGATCACCACATTGTTCCCTTCTTTTGGCAACTTAATACCATGAATAATTTCCTGAGCCAACAATATATTTTCCGAAATACTCCTTCCTTTCACAAAACCAGATTGATTATCAGAAATTAGCTTAGGAATAATGGAAGCCAATCTCATACTCATAACTTTGGAAATGATTTTATTGGAGAAGTTACTAAGACTGATGGGTCTAAAGTCTTTGTGTTTATTAGGATGTTCAATTTTAGGAAGCAAAACAAGGCATGCATGAGTCATATACCTAGGCATAATCTCACCATTAAAAAAATCTTGAACTGCAGCTAACAAGTCATCTTTAATTATATCAAAACAAAACTGATAAAACTTCCCACCTATGCCATCAGGACCAGGGGCTGAGTTTGGATTCATGCTCATTACCACCTTTCTCAATTCCTCCATGTCAGGTAATTTATCTAACACATCATTTTGATCAGCAGTAACCATGTTTGGAATACATTGAAGAATCTCCTCATTAACTCTTAAAGAACTACCAGAAAACATATCCTTATAATAATCACATGCCTCCTTTGCTATATTGTCATCCCCTTGAATCCATTCCCCATTGTCATTCATAATTTTATGAATGTTCATTTTTTCCTTCTTCCTCTCAACACTGCATGGAAATATTTTGAATTAGCATCCCCTTCCTTTAGCCAATGCAATTGAGTTTTTTGTTGAAGAATTACATATTCCAGCTTAAGATACTTAATATACTGTGCATTGACATAATGCAAATTTTCTCTTTTTTCCTTACTATTGTCCTGAATACTGGAAGTTTCAACACTGCTGATTAATTCTTCATATTCTTTCACTTTTGCAAAAACATCTCCATATTCCTTTTTAGACCAATACCTTAAAGTAGCTGTTAGTCTTTTCATTTTAGTATGAAATTTCCACATAGGTTTACCTTCAACTTGCCTCTTCCAACAACTTTCCACAGTCTTTAGAAAAGAATAATTCTCAGTCCAACAGTTGAGAAACTTAAAATATCTAATCACATGTTCCTTATTGTCACTAATTTCCATCAGTAAGGGGCAATGATCCGATCCTACTGATGGAAAATGTGTGATAGTAGTTTTAGGCATTTTTTCCATCCATTTATCATTAACCATGCCTCTATCTAGTCTTTTCCAGATTCGAGCTCCATCTTTTCTATGGTTGCACCAAGTGAAATATTGACCATGATAACCCAAATCTGTTAAACCACAAGACTCTATAATATTAATGAATTCCAAACTTTTGTTAATATTATAAGCTCTACCACCACACTTTTCCTGAGTAGATGTAATAACATTAAAATCACCTATAATGCACCATGGCTTAACAGTTGTAGACCACTTCAGCATACCATCCCGAAGAGGTTTCCTTAAATATTCTTTACACTTAGCATAAACATAAGTTATATGGAAATTGTCACTGCAATGTTCATGAATAACCTCACAGCTTATATGTTGTTGATCCATATCAACAATTTGACACTTCACCTTATCAGACCAAAATATCCAAATCTTGTTATTAGAGTTACTGTAACTATAGTCCATCAATAACCTCATTCTATAAGAATCCAACTGAGAACTGTTAGCAAAGGGTTCTAATACAGCAATCATAGACAGATCATGTATTTTCCTAAGATTTAAAAATCTTTCAAAAGAGCCAAAAGTTTTAATACTTCTAGTATTCTAGCAGATGATCTTCAACATTATAGACCCCTACTCCTAGCCCTAGTGTTAGGCTTAATATTGCTAGTGTTTTTATGTTGTTTAGACTTCTTTCTACCTCTAGGTGACAAGCCCTGTTTACTAGTAATGTCTCTAATATCATCAACATTAGAAGTGTGAAGCAAAGGGCCTTTTTGAATTTGATCAGAGTTATTTATCTCTTCCCCTGTTTCAATACCCTCACCTAAATAATGAGTATCTCCATCATACTCATCTTCAGAATCAGGTTCCCTATACTCATCCAAATTATCACTTTTTGAATGATCTAGAGGAACCTGTTGAGGCATGTCAAGATTCCTTTTATCAGGTGGTTCTTTATCAACATTATACATAGACTCCTGACCATCCATTTTATCTTTCCCTTTAGAAATATTAACATTAGAAATTTGAATATCCTCCTGACCATATCCAGCCTCTCCTCCATCAGCTACACCAACAATGTCAATACCATGGTTTGTAGGGGGAGGAAGCAAGTCCATACCTGGTCTGTTTATTGAAACAGGTTGATATACAGCCTGTTTATTTTTATAGCCTTGAATGTCCTATCTTGGTTGTTTATTCCTTTGTTCTCTATGCACATTCCTTCCTTCCTTATAAGCTTGATTGTGCTCTTGTATTTTCTCATTATGTGTCTCTCCTTCATCTCCAGTAGTACTATATTCCTGCACTTCCAAATTAATATATGTATTTTGAGTAGGAATAGATACAATACCTGTTTGAGTATGCTGTGTCTGGGAGACTGCCTTATCAGTGCTGAATCTAACTTGTTGATTTCCATTTCTTCTCTTTTGTGTTTGCCATTCTTCTTGTATCATAGGCTATTGACCTTCAATATTTTGATGCTTGTGTTGATTGTATTCAATGTCACTTCTGCCAGTTTCCCCTCTTTTTGTACCCTGTATGTCTGCAGTATTGTTTGTATTGTCTTTCCTATTCCTGTTTTTGTCCAGCTCCTTTTTTTGTTTATTTTCTTCATCTCTTTTTCTTATAATACAATCACTTTCCTTATGCCCTTGATGCTTGCAGTAAAAACAATAGTCTGGGATACTATCATATTCAATCTTTTGCCATCTCCCATTCGTTATGTCTTCACCAATATATCCCATCCAAATATGTGGGGGTCTTTCTTTAGTTAAGTCTACTTGGACCTTCACTCTTGCTTGACTCCCCCTTGTCTTGTTAATAGAAGCTGAATCAAGGTAAAGAACTCTCTCTATAGGTGATAAAAGACTAGTAATGAACTCTTTGTTGTAACAGTGCCATGGCAACTCTTGAAGAGATATTCAGATTGGTACCAATGGTGTCTCTTCCTCAGGCTTAAAATTAGGAGTCCAGGCCTGTATTCTCATAATTTGTCCAGCTATAGTCATCCTCTGCTTAGTCCATACCATATTGTAGTCTAATTCATTGTCAAGATCAATGTATACATGCCTCGAATTAAAATGGGCTATCTTCACACCTCTAGAAAGTTGTGTTTGCAGTATAAAATTTTTCCTGATCAGTTCAACCTTTGGCATTGTGTAGATGAATTTTCCAATGAGTGTAAACTTACAAGTTGATGCCAAATCTTTAACAACTTCTTCCTTAACATATAGAACTGCAGGTAACCCTTGTTTGGTAGTTATTTCAGGCTCCGTTAGCTTGATACTTACACCCCTCTTGGACTGATTGTACCTAAGTCTATCTGCATATGTTTGGATTACAGTATATGGTGCTGGTTCTGATATCTGATCCTTTTTAGGAAAATTATTATTATTTCCTATAGAAGGATCATTCTTAGCAGTTACTCCTTTTTGTGTAGGTCGATCAAAGTTGCTAGTAATTTTAGGAAAATTGGCTTGATAATCTTGATTCCTACTAGTATCCTTAGCAGTTCTTGCATCCAACATGCCATCATCAACATAATTAACATTGGAAGGAAGATTACCTTGAACATTTTCATGCCTTTCTGCAGTGTTAACCAAAGAATCACCAAATCGCCTTTGTCTTGAGCACTGGCCTACTTCTCTCAACCCTTGATTTCTACTTGTTGTATTTGCAGGTATTTGAGGTTGCATATTTGTTCCTTGTTCCTTGTTCAAAGTGGAACCCAATTGTTGTATTTGTACATGGCTACGAATTTGAGTTTGATGATCCAATTCTTTCTCCTTGGACGATGGATTACCCAGTGATTGACCTTTGTGAATTCCTTTGTCTTGAATGTTGCTCTGCAATTCCAATTCCCTTCCCTGTCGCGATTCCACAATTTCACCTGCATGTCTAGAATCAATATTACGAACTCCCCTGTTTTGCGTTTCTTGTTGAGTATTGAGATTCAATCCTTGTGAAGATTCCCCAGTAACTGATTCTTGACTCGCTCTTTCTACTCGATTTACATCAGAACTCGATAGCGCCGCCTCCATCAAATTCGATTTCACCGGTTCAATCTCTTGCGATTGCGCCGCCGCCTTCGATCTCAATTTCGCCGCCTCAATAGCCTGTAATTTCTCCGCCCCTTGTAATCTCGATTCAACTCGTGCCAATTCTTTCAAATTATCCTTCCTTTGTATGTCTCCTACTTATCCACTCAAATTTCGATCCCTTTCGCGATTGTGACGAAACTCATCCATCTCCGCCTCTATAGTCGCAACTTGGATCGCTTCTTCCCTCAATCGCGAAGAGGAAGATGATGCTCCATCCGTCATTTCTTTATTATTCGATTGAACATTCAATTCCTCCACTCTTAACGACGGATCTGGAGGTCGAAAACGCTCATCCACCAGATTAACAACCATTCCAACACTTTTACTAATCAAATTCGCCGATTAGCAGTGAGAACAATAGAATTCGTGAGAAATTTCTAGAGAGAAGGTCAAACTCTCCAAGATTTCAAGCCTAATTTTGTGGTATTTCTTCAATTAAGGTATGGTTATTTCATCCCTTACTCCTTTTCTATTGAAGGAGCTAATTTCAATGGCTTTTCAAAGATGCTTAAAAACATAGAAATACCGATTTTAAATTCTAAGCATGAGTTCTTGCATGAAAAATCCTAAATCAATGTTTCGTGAAGTAATTTATGTTAATTGAATGTTTTAAGAAAAAAAATCCATGAACCCATGTATTAAATTAATTCCTAATATTGGTTTTAAAGTGGGTGAATTGATCATTACATGATCTTAGTGAATTCATGTGTAGATTGCATTGGACTATTGAATTATATACACATCATAATAGAATTGTTTATATCCTTCCACATAATTATAATATTCATATTTTATGTTGTGGATCATTGATATGGATTGGTTGTTGGCTTATTATTGTGTACATGACTATTGGTAAGAGCCTTTGTAAAATTTATTGGTTGAAAAGGTTAAGGAATGGTGATGATGATGATTGGGAGGTTGTGAGTTGACCTAATTCCTCCATTTAGTATAGAATTGATATTGAATTATATTGATTGGTATGACCCACTTATGGTGGCAATGTCTATGCACTATAATTGTTATGAACATGACCTTGTCGGGATTATTATATGAAGTAATGTGCATTCATTGTGCTAATTCCATATGTTGTTCTATTTATACAAGTGTTGGTGGCAAGCGAAGAGTCTCTTGGGATCAAAGCTTGGGAATAACATTCTCTCCCGAAGACTTTGTATGCCCTCATATGATTCGAGGACAGAGTTATGTTTTAGTTTCCTTTCAAAAAGACTTTGTAGTAGACTATAGATACTATCCAAAATTTTGTAAGGTATTTGACACTAAGGGCGGGCTTGTATAATACCTCTGAGATGTCCTGTATGCCGTGTGGTGACTTAAGAGTGCTCCTACTTTTAGGTATACTCCCAAGTCGTTGCACATCCAATAACCATAGTCCAACTAAATTCATATCCACCCCAAAAAAACCCAACACCAGTTCATGAAGCGTCCTAACAAAGATGACTTTGTATCATAAGAAAACCTCTAGTTAAGGCTGAGAATCACCACTACAAAGAATAATTTATGAGTAAATACTAACAAAAAGAGGGAGTTTTATATTGAAATAGGAGGGAGGAAATGAGATTTACTAAACTGTAGATGGGCTTGACACTACTCTTGGTAAGAATCATAACAACATAGGGTTTATCATAAAATGGAAAATTTCATCATTGTAGATTACTGTACTTCCAGTGCTTTCATTCATGATGAATTCACCTTTTTGTTTTGAAACTTGTTCACGAAATAATCCACCTTAAAGAATAATAATGAAAAGAGAGGATAAGTTTTATGATCAACAATGTGGGTGTAAGAGAAAGATAATTAGGAACATATAAATTTGTTAAGAGTGATTGGGATGTACCCCCATTTTTGATTGATCAGATAAATGGAGCTCTTGTTCTGATTTGATTCAGTTTATCAAGAATACATAAAATCCTTTGAACTTTCAAAATGGGATAATTTAAGATTTTGGGGGTGGCCTTAGGGTTTCACTATCTTTTAAAAATATCTCAAAAGTATTTTTTAAGTTAAACAACTAGTTCTATTTACTAGTTTATACAATATGATACTTCATTTTAAAAAGAGGTGGTGCATTCAAGATTGTTTTGACTTAAAGAATTACCAAATCAAATCACCTAACGTTTTTTCAAGACTTTCTTTGTATTTTAACACAAATAATGTGGGATCATTTAGTTTGCTTTTTATGTTTTTAGAATAAATAATGTGGGGTTTTAATCTGCTTTTGAAGTTTCTAAGCTCTGCGAATTAATTGTATCTTTAATGCAATTATAATTGAATATCTCCTAAAAGCTTTGAAGTAGTATTTAAGAATCTTTTGGAAAAGGAAAATATCATACATTGTAAATATAAAAAATTGTGATCTAAAAGTCTATTTTCTCATAAGTCAAAACCCGTTCATATCACATAAAATCTATATATATAATAAAGCTAAATGTAGAGAAGGTAATGTGACATGCTTCTTAACCCAAGAATGACATTTATTTATTTTTCCCTCAAATATTTGACATTTTTTCAATTATTTCCATTTATTATGTGATGTATTAGAAAATCTTTAAAATGTTTATTAATTACATTTTTTAGTCATTGTTCTTCAAATCAATCTATGTTACTAAGTTTTTGCATTTTCTTAATCTTAACTACCACTTAATTGTGTTTCACACTGTTTAGAAAAAAATGTAATTATTTTATTTCTGTTTGGAAAATACACCAACCTATAAATACTACTTTTTGTTCTTAGTTCAGCCTCATATAATACAATAGTCATTTCAACAGCCAATATACAATTTTATCTGTTCTTCATTTGTCTCATAATTTATTTATTTTTTTTGCTATGATGTAATATTAGTTAACTTATTTTTACTATTAAGTAATTTATTGATGTATTATATTTGCATGATACTAATTTTTTTAAAATAGTTTTTCTTCTCTTTTTATTTATGAATGGGAGTTTGGAGGACAAACAATGGCAAAATGGTAATTATAAGTTTTCCTAGGTTTGCATT